GCTCATTGTTCATCAGACTTGTCCTTTCTCTTTATTGTTCTTGGTTCATCTCGAGGTCACTAAGTTTGAGGCTGATACTGTTTGGTAACACTGGTTTGATTCATTCATTTCTTTCATCTATACTTTATACTTCTTGATTATTAATTGGTAGTGAACTAAATCACATATCTTTGAAACCACAAATCAAATTTAATTGTTACTCGTATTTTCGAGGTAAACACTATTAACCTAAAAGAAATGCGTCCTGAAGTTTGAACTAAGAACTCAACTGCATGGCACTGTGTCCTGAAGTTCGAATAGAAAAAACTCAACTTCTCGAAGTGTTTGTACATGAAAAATATTACAGGGAAAAAAGTTGGATATGAGGCTGAATAATGTAACATGTACAAATTTTTGGTCTTGATATATATATCTATGTAAGACTTGATGTATGTGTAAACATTTTTGGGTTGTCAATTCTATGTTCTGCTCCTACAATCCGTTTAGGTGTGTATTATATTTGAATTGATGTTTTAACAAATTAAAGCTATCTGATATAGAAAATTGTAAATTTAATCTGGAAATTGTTGTCATAGGCTATCTGAAATTTGTTGCAATATCAGTGGTTCTTTTGCAAGTCAACTTGCTAAATTCCAATGTAGACTGTGGTGCATGATCAACTAGCTAGAATTAATGGGACAAGATGAAATTTCGAACAGCTAGTTCAATTATTTCCTTCCAATTTTAAGAAAGATAAATCTCAAGAATTTTAGTCAATAAGTATGAGTATTGAAGCGTAAGTTCCTCAAATTATTCCACATTTCCTTCTTCTTTAGGAGAAGGAGAAGGAAGTAAAAAAAGGACTTACCCCATTTAAATTGAGCCCTCTCTAGCAATTTCTTTCCTGCTTTTGACTCTCTCAGTCAACTAAAATCACTCAAGATTGGTGTCCCTGGGAATTAGCAGATTCTTATAGTTTTGAATGTTGAAAAACGGTCCAAAGATATTCTTAACATGGTATGATATTGTCCGCTTGGGCTAAGCCCGCATGATTGTCCCCAAATGTTCTCACGCCATTAAGAGTATCAAACTCCTTATAATTAGAATCTTTTTCCTTTCTACTTTCTATATGGGACTTTGTTCACACACACCTAACATTGAAGACTTTACATATCTGTCAAACCTCAAAAAATTATTAGCATGTCTTGAACTCCCCTGGAATAAAAATCCTAACCACTGGCAGATTATCCAATCTTGAAGTTCTGAAACTAGAAGGAAATGCCTGCAGAGGGAGGCAGCGGGACGTTTAGGATGGGGAGTTTTCTAACCTTAAACTTTTGAATCTCAGAATGGAGTGCCTCTGATGCTTCGTATCCCAGCCTACAAAAAGTACTTGTTCAATGGTGTTGAAACCTAGAGAAAATCCCTGATAGTTTTGGAAGCAAGTGTATGATGCAACTGATTGAGGTAAGATCATGTCGCGACTCTGATGTAAATGCTGCCCTCAAAATTAAGAGTATCCAAATTGATAAGGCTGCGTACAATAGACGCTTGTGGTCCGACGACCCCATGCATAGCGAGAGCTTATTGTATCGGGCTTCCCTTTTGGTAATTCTCAATTCAAGGTCATTATTCGTAAGTGAAAGTGAATAGTATTGATCAGAGGGGTTGTATAGTTAGATAACCTTGTCCTATGTTCTTGAATTAAAATGCAAAGTTAGGTATATAAGGAAAGGCCCTCTTGTATTAGATTGTCTAACTAATAGAAGAATTTTCCTTATCTGACCTCCTAAGTACAGATATATAGAGCACTGGTCTTTTCTCTTTTAATTGACGCTCTTTAGTTCATAAGTCAAACCAAAAGTAGAAGAAGTTATTGTGAGGCTACTCATTGAACAAAAAAGAAGAAACAGGAACAAATACAAAATGGTACTCCCTCCGTTTCATATTAAATGAGGTACTTTCCTTTTTAGTCTGTTCCAAAACAAATGATACAGTTCTAAATTTGGAAATAATTCAACTGTAAACTCTTCATTTTACCCTTTTTGTCCTTAATGAGAAGCTTTTACAGCCACACAAATGGCATGGCCCCACGAACCTTTTACCCCTTAAGCTTTTAAGACCACAAGTTTCAAAAGTTTTCTTCTTTTTTCTTAAACTCCGCGCCGAGTCAAACTAACTCAAATAATATGAAACGGAGGGAGTAACAGTATAAGAATGAACTACTTGTACGGAGCATTGAACAAAAGAATGCCCACTTGTCGACATCTCGTTGCCCACTTGAAAACTTCAGTACTAAATGAACCTTTCAATGAAGGTTATCTAGTTTCTCTTTTCCATTTAAATTCTGTATTTGATTATGGTACTTAAATTTTTAAATGGCCCCAGTTACTGCTCTTTGGCTCCCCCTCCCCCCCCCCCCCAACCCATGGTTGTAAAAGATATTTATTGAGGATAAAAGAAGAAATATAAACAAAATTGCTGAAGATATTGACAATTTTGTCTTTTTGGTTCTATCAATATTTCAACTTGTAATAACTAAAAAAGAAGAAGAATATTGTGGCAGATAGAAGCCCTTATAAAATATCTAATTCTTAGAACTGAAAACCATTTATAGCTAGCAGACAATGTGCAAGAAGTCTATGCAGACGTTTCAATAGGTCAAACAAGTCGCCTGACTAGCATGAGAGCTAGGGATGTTCATGGTTCGGTTTGGATCGGTTTTTCCCTAAAAAGAAACCGAACCAAGTAAGTCGGTTTTTCAAATATTAGAACCAAACCAAACCAAACCAATTAAGTCGGTTCTTTCTCCATTCGGTTCATGTCGGTTATTCGATTTTTTCGGTTATTTGTCGGTTTTTTCTTAAATATAAGATATACATTACCAAACACATATTTCGGCGACTATACATTTTCAACGTAACACTATCAAATCAATTGCCCTTTGAGAAATCTATTATTTACCAAGATATATTGATGATAATTGAATCAAATAGTGATGAATAATTTAAGGACTCAATTAAAAATATATTATTTTTAGCATGAAATAGATTCTCACACTTAACAAAAGAAAACTACCAATCAAACTAGAATGTAAAGGTAAAGAATTGTACTAAAAGCGCAAACGATTAACATTTACTATAAAATTTTTGAAACTTTGTATAAAAGTATACATATATATAGGTGTAATAATAAATTTAAAATAGCTACTCCTATATTCGGTTTAGTTCGACTTTTTTTTTTTATTAAAATCAAAACCAAACCAAATTTGATAGGTTTTTAAATCTCAAAACCAAAACCAAACCAAAAAGTATCGGTTTTTTTGATCGGTTTGGTTTGGTTCGATTTTTCGGATTTTTATGAACACCCCTAATGAGAGCTATTGGTGGCCAATTATTATCAACAAAAAATTTTGCAACTTTGTAGTGTAAAATATGGAATAAACATGGCTGTCACTATAAAAATCATGAAAATATGAAGTCTAAAGTTAAATTGTTTCTAAAAGTAAAATATTTCATTATTTTTTTACTTAAATGAAAGTGTATCTATTGAGTAAAGGAAAGTGTATTTATTGAGTATCTCACTCGTGACTTATCTTTACTTTCTTCTCTTGTAAATCTATTAAATCGTGCTGAGTATGAAGAAGAATTGATTAGGGCTCATAAGAGAAAGAGAAACACGAGAGAGAGAGAGAGAGAGAGAGAGAGAGAGAGAGAGAGAGAGAGAGAGAGAGAGAGAGAGAGAAAATCTCATTTCTGTTAAGTTCTAGAATGTACCGACCTATTTCTTATCTCCCTATTGTTTACATTATATTGGGCTTTAGACCGGAAGCTCAAATACAAATAAATACACCCTAGTTAAACCGGTAGTGGGCCGCAGTAAGCTGAAGTCAAACACCCCCTTCAAGTTAGAGGGTGCTACAACCCCCAACTTTAGCAACAAAGAGCGATGAATAGCTTCAGTGAGTGGCTTTGTAAAAATGTCGGCGAGCTAAGAAGTGGTAGGAACATGATGCAAGGAGATTAGTCCATCACCAAGTTTATTCTGAACGAAATGACAATCCAATTCAATGTGCTTCGTCCGCTCATGAAAAACAGGATTCTTCGCAATATGAATGGCCGCTTGGTTGTCACTAAACACTGGCACAGCAGAAGATACAACAACACCAAAGATAAAAGTCGAACAACCCAAGTCAACTCTGCAACCAGCTTACTAAGAGCTCGGTACTCAGCCTCAGCAAAAGAAAGGGAGACAATGTTGCTTCTTAGCCTTTCAACCAATGATAGAATCCCCCAGAAGAATGCGAAATCCAGTGACTGATCTTCGAGTGTCTGGGCAAGCAGCCTAGTCACTATCACAGAAGGCAGACAAAGAAAGAGATGGAGAATTTCCATAAAACACCCCAACATCAGAAGTACCTTTGAGGTATCGAAGTAAATGCAAAGCAACCTTCATGTGGGAAGTACAAGGGGCATGCAGGATCTGGCTGAGATGTTGGACAGCAAAGCATAGGTCAGGCCTTGTGTGAGTCAAAAAGTTTAACTTTCCCACCAAGCTTCTATAAGTGTCAGGAGAAGGCAGAGGATCACCCATGGCAGCCTTCAATTTAGAGTTCAAATCCAAAGGACAGTCACAGGAGATAACATATCACAATTGTATGCATGAAGTAGATCTGTGATAAACTTTCTTTGATGGAGTAATAGCCCAGAAGGAAGATAGGCCACTTCTATGCCAAGAGAGTACTTAAGAACACCCAGATCCTTGATTTTGAACTGATTGTCCAAGAAGAGTTTCAAAGCAGAGATTTCTTCCAAATCATCACTAGTAAGTATTATATCATCCACATAAATGGCAAGGAGGACAGTGGAACCACCCGATCTTCTGATGAAAAGGGAATATTCATTCAAAGAATAGAAATAACCCCTAGAACACAAAGCATGAGACAACTTGGCATACCACAGCCTAGATGCATGTCTCAAACCATACAAAGATTTTTGAAGATGACAAACCAAATTAGAAGACTAAGCAGATGAAGCAACACTCTCAGCAGACAAACCAGGGGGAAATTTCATGTAGACCTCCTCATCCAAGTCCCCGTGCAAAAATGCATTATTTACATCAAGTTGAAACATAGACCAATTCCTTTTCACAGCCACAACAATAAGACATTTAACACTAGAAAATTTGATGACTGGAAAAAAGGTTTCATTATAATCTACACCATCCACATGTGTATCACCCCTAACAACCAACCTAGCTTTATATCTTTCTATAGACCCATCAGCTTTATATTTTATCTTATAGACCCATTTATAACCTATGGGTTTCTTGCCAGGAGGTAACTCAACAATGTACCAGGTATCATTAGCCTCAAGAGCCTCAAATTCCTTTCTCATGGCCCCTTGCCAAGCTGGAATAGAAGCTGCCTGATGGTAAGATTGAGGTTCCAGGCCAGCAATGCTAACTGAACTTTGAGAACAAAAGGAAGAAGAACTAGAGCCACATAGAGAAGGAGGCAGACTGCAAACATACTGTTGGAGATGACTGGGAGTAACATGATTTCTGGTGTATCTCCTAACAAGAGGTGGAGACAGACTAGGGGCAATAGGAGGAGCAGGAGCAGGTTCAAGGACAGGAGCAGAGTGAGGATCAGACACAGGAGAAGGAATAGGAGAAGAAGAGGGAGAAGCAACAAGTGTTGAGGATGAGACATGATCAGGTTCATGAGAAGAGGTGTAATGAAACTCATAAGAAGAGAAAGGGACAAGAGAAGTAGATGATGTAGAAGTAACAGATGAAGGAGAGACTGAGGCAAAAGGTAAAATACCCTCATGAAACACTACATCTCTAGAAATAAGGGTTAGTTTAGTAGCTCGGTTGTAAAGTTTATAACCTTTCTTAGCCAAGGGATATCCCAGAAAAACACAAGGATTGACTCTAGGTTGAAACTTGTCCTTGTGACACTTAGGAATTGTGGAGAAACACAAACAACCAAAGGTTCCAATGTGAGTATATGAAGGGGGTTTCCCAAAGAGTAATTCAAAAGGAGTTTTATTGACAAGCAACTTGGAAGGGAATCTATTAATAAGGTAAGTGGCAGTGAGGACACAATCACCCCAAAACTTAATAGGTAACTTGGATTGAAAGAGTAAAGCTCTAGAGGTTTCCAACAAATGCCTATGTTTTCTTTAAATTACCCCTATTTTGTTGTGGTGTGTGTGGGCAAGATGTTTGGTGAACAATGCCATTGTCAGCAAAGAATTGGCCAACAAGAGCACCAGACCCAAGTTCAAGAGCATTATCACTTCTAATAGTTTGAATGCAAGTTTGAAATTGTGTCTTGACCATGGAAACAAAAGCTTTAATCAGAGGAAAAGCATTACTTTTAGACCCCATAAGGTGTCCAAGTAGCTCTAGTGAAATCATATACTATAGTCTATTTGCCATTGTAAGTAGGAGTGCTATATGGTCCCCAAGTATCCACATGGACAAGTTGGAAGGGATGAGAAGTTTTGATGGAGCTATCAGGAAAGGGTAGTCTAGGTTGCCTAGCTAAGGGACAAATACAACAAGTAAAATGCTATTTAGAGGAAAATTTGCTTGAAATGGATGAAATATCCTTCATTCTGACAAAGGGGATATGCCCCAACCTATTATGCCAACCTATTATGCCATAAAATCTCCATTTTATCCAAATCAGAATGGTATGTACAATGATTATCAGTTCCAATGGCAGCCAATGGAGAATGGTATTTACAATTGGAAGACATAGAAGTAGAAGAACAAGTAGGAAAACTATTACAAGCAGCAACAAGAACATTAGAATCAGATTGTGGACATGGCTGCACAAGCTTGTATAGCCCATGATCCTGTTTACCAATTTCCAGTGGCCTCTTCATTGAAGGGGCCTGTATGAGAAAACATGAAAATTTACCAAACAGAACCAGGCAATCTAATTGTGCAACAAGCTTGTGAAAAGAAATAAGATTATGCTGAAAACTAGGGACAAAAAGTACATGATGAAGTGTGAAAGAAAGAAAGTGAAGAGAACCAGTGCTAGTGACTTTGACTTTATATCCATTAGGAAGTGTGACCAAATATGGGACAACTAAAGGTTGACTATCAAAAAGAAGTTCTTTCTTAGAAGTCATGTGATTAGTAGCCCCAGAATCTATTATCCAAGCGTACTCATGAACTCTAGTTAGCATGCATGCACCATAAGACACCTTGCATACACAATCAGGGGAAGGAACTATACCCGCAAAATTAGCAGACGCCATCAGACTAGACTGAGGGAGAGACTCTGAAATGTGATGTTGCTGAAGTAACATCAGAAGCTGATCATACTGGTCCTTAGACAGACCAGGAATCACATAATTAGAATCAACAGGACTCTCAGTGGAAACTGGTCCATATTCAGAAGCACAAGCTGAACTCTGCACCTCAACATTTGCAGCAGTTCGTTTACCTTTGGTGAATTTATAGTTTGGTGGAAATCCATGGAGCTTATAGAATTTATCAATCAAATGTCCAGGTTTCTTACAATACTTGCATAAAATAGGAGACTTGTTCTGATCAAAACTGACTTTCTGGACAAACTGTCTAGGAGGGGCTGATTTTTTATTCAGATTGACATGAAAAGAAGTAGAGTCACCCTGGAAATGAGAATTAGGAGTAATGTCACGACCCAAAATTCACTAAGGATTGTGATGGCGCTGGACACCACTGTCAGGCAAGCCAACACCACTTAACTAGTAAATTCTCGTTTTAATATTTTTAAAATCATTTTCGCTAAATATTAAACAATGAATAATAAACTTCACTGAATAAATAATGATGTCTTTACAAAATTACTGAATAATCCCGAAATTATCCCAGAACCTGGTGTCACAAGTGCATGAGCAATTACAAAAAAATCTAATAAAGTACAATAGCCGTCCGGAATAAAAACTTGGACATAAAGTAAATACAATACACTAAAAGAGACTCTGCTGGCTGCGGGTCGTCTCGAGAGGTGCAGCTCACCCAAGTCTTTGTATCATCCATGCTGCTACGTCCATTAGGGCACTAGAGGTACATGTGCCCGTACAACAAAAAATGCACAGCAAGTGTAGCATGAGTACAAAAATAACATGTACTCAGTAAGTATCCCGCCTAACCTCGAAGAAGTAGTGACGAGAGGTCGACTTCGACACTTACTAATGGTCCAATAATATCATTACAATAAAGAAGTGAATAAGTATGAAACAAGGAAGTTATATGAAATAAGCATGTATAAAATACATAGTAACATTCTTCTTCTTTATTTTACTCAAGTTTTCAGCTAGCAAGTTCCCTCCGTAACTGGAGCGCGCGCGCACACACACACACACACACATATATATATGGTGGATTTCCTTAAAGAAGTTGTCATAATTCAAAACAGGAAAAAGAATCCTCCAGGTTCACTGGCTTCTAGCCAAATATCACGCATGATTCCATGAGAATAGTATATATATATATATATATATATATATATATATATATATATATATATATAGGAAATGCCAAGGCGAACGGCCCCGCTCCCATGAGAGTGTGATACATAAATCCTGCTGAGGCGAACGGCCCGATCCCATAAGAGTAGTAGAAGGAAATACCCCGCTGGCGAATCATACGTGCGCCGCGGTAAAATATAAATTTAAGGAATCACCCCGCTCGCGAATCATACTTGCGACGCGGTCAAATATAAGTTTAACATTAAAATCATATCTCTTTCTTGATTCTTTTCAAAATAAGGGAAATTCAGCTTGTAGCTTTTTAAGAAAATTACCTCGCTCGCGAAATATACATGCGACGCGGTTACACATAGATTTCTTAAGCTATTATAATATTCCTTCAATTCTTTTAAAAAAAAATACGAAATTCAAATAAAAACTTTTAAGATCTCAAATTCCTCAATTTCAACTCTGTTCAAGTATTTACTAAGCAAACTCAATATCGCTTCTTCTCAAGGCAAACAATAAACAAGAGTCAACAACAATATCAACAAAGCATGGTGTAAACCTAAAACTACCCGGACATAGGCATAGCTAGTAGCTACGTACGAACTCTCGTCACCTCGTGCGTACGTAGCCCCCACAAATAGAGGCACACGTTAATTATTTCACCTATGGGGACAATTCCCTCTTACAAGGTTAGAAAGGAGACTCACCTCGCTCCGAAGTTCCATAACCGGCATTCCGCGCCCTTCCGAAGACTCAAATTGATGCACGACGTCCAATAATTATGTAAACCCATTAATACATGTCCAATTACTTATAATAATCTAATTTATAACAATTCCTAACCCTAATAGAAAAGTTGACTAAATTGCCCTCGGGCCCACGTGCCCGGATTCCGAAATTTTTTGAAGATAAAGTTTACCCATGACCTCACAAACTCAAATATATAATTTATTCTCAATTCCATGCCCAAGATCGTGGTCAAAATCCAAAAATACCAATTTCTAGGTTTTTCTTCAAAATGCCTAAATTTCTACAATTTTACATGTTTAAATCCATATATAATCCTTGTATTTAACCCATAACTAGAAGAAACCACTTATCTCTTGATGATGGTGGAACCCCTTCTCATATGCTCTCAAAAATCGCCTAAGACCAAGTGGTAAATGAGGAAAATGGGCTAAGTCTCGGAATAAAAAGCCATTGCACCAGACGTAGAAGTCGCATTTGCGACCTCTGGATCGCAATTGCGATGGTCGCATTTGCGACAAAGGCATCGCAAATGCGAAGCCAGCTCCCCCCCTGCGATGGTCGCATTTGCGACAAAAGCATCGCAAATGCGAAGAGGACAGCATCGCAAATGCGATAACTCCCTCGCAAATGTGATCTTCCCTCAGCAGCCCAGGTTCGCAAATGCGAGCCTACCTTCGCAAATGCGGTCACACCAGCATTAGCAATCCCACTTCTCAACATAATGCTCCGAAGCTTCTCCGAAACTCACCCGAGCCCCCGGGGCTCCAAACCAAACGCCCACACAAGTCTAAAAACATAATACAGACTTGCACAAGGCTTCAAATCGCATCAAACAATGCTAGGATCACGAATCACACCCCAAATCAAACTTGATGAACTTTAAAATTTAAAACTTCTACTTTCGATGCTTAAACCTATCAAATCACGTGCGACTGAACTCAAATTTTGCACACAAGTCATATTCGACATTACAGATCTACTCCAACTTCCGAAATCGGAATCCGACCCCGATATCAAAAAGTCCACTTCCGGTCAAGCTTCTCAAAAACCTTCAAATTTCCAACTTTAGCCAAATGACTCCAAAATAACTCACGAATCTCTGAATTCACTTCCGATCGCGCTTCCAACACCAGAAACACCATACTGAACTATTCCCAGACTCAGAATCCCAAATGGACATAGATAACACTGAAATGCACTTCAACCCAAACTTATGAAATTCTTCCAAAATGTTAACTTCCACAATAGGCGCTGAAACACTCCCGGGTCATCCAAAACCCGATCTGGACATACGCCCAAGTCCAAAATCATCATACAAACCTGCTGGAACCTTTATCTCCATTCTGAGGTGGTTTACTCAAAAATCCAATCCTTGTCAATTCCTCCAACTTAAAAGCTTCCGAAATGAGAAATTTTCTTTCCAGATCAATTCTGAACTTTTCGGAATTCAATTCTGACCATGCGTACAAGTCGTGATACCTGATGTGAAGCTGCTTATGGCCTCAAACTGCCGAACGACGTGCTAGAGCTCAAAATGACCGGTTGGTTGCATTCTCTCCCACTTAAACATACATTCATCCTTGAACGTGCTAAGAACTGCACTGGAGCTATCCGAAATCATTGCTTAACACCTTGAGCACATACCCGTCCTACCACAGCTCAGTTGAGCACATTAACTTGATCAAATTTGAAGATATTCTCTTTTATTCAAACAAATAAGCTTAGAACTCAGTTCTAACACCCGAAATTCTCTGCCGGGCCTGCTTCCGATCTACGAATACCGCAACAATCACTACACGATGTACCAAAACATGACTGCATACCTTTGCTGAATTCACACTATGCACTGCATAACTCACATGATCATAATATCATCCTCTGATAACGATAGCTAAGATTCCACGAATTTGATGCTCCCAATGCACCTCATGACTTATATAATTCTTGCCCCAACTTTTGCAATACCGCCGCGATGGAAGAGATGTGTAGAAATTCATTACTGACTGCCGCATCAACATATCATTAAGTCTATACTCCTGCCAAGAACCATCACCTCATTTGAATTAATTAATGGTATTTTCTCTTTGATATACTTCATATAATCAGACCGTACTGATCCTAGGTCCAATAATCTCGTCTCACCCAGTATGAACCGCTTCAGGCAATAAGCCACCCCAGTCATGGCCAAAAGTCTCATATGATGCCACAACGTGCCAATAGGCTACAAGCTCGAACGTGATACATAAGGAAAACGAACTCTGGAAAGGCTACTCAACCCACGTAACTAATTAGACAACCGAAAGGTGTCATGAATCTTCCTTAGGAAAATGGGAAACAAGACACACAAAAATAGAGTATAAGGGACTGTACTCAACATCACACTATTGCGGCGCGCAACTCGATCCAAACTACATACCCGTGGCGGCACGCCACCCGATCCACACATAAAATCTATATAAGGAACATACCAAGCTAGAGTGCTCATTACTACAAAAATACCGAATATCGTCCACAAGCACGCTAAGTGCATAATACCATCCCTGGGGAGACAGATAGCGCCATACGCTACAAACTCAAGCACAACTGAGATGCGATATATGATCTGAATTTCAAGAGCCATCCTGTTCACATGACACCATCGCTACGCGGAACCTCAACACGTAAGAGAATTATCAAGCTGTTTCACAACTCACATGGCTCAATATAGTATTACATGACATAACTGACAACGAAATAACATCTAACGTTCGAATACTCCTCCATAAGGAGTGCTATGCTGAAATGAACACATCTTGCCTGATATAGAGCCCATATTCATATTTAAATCCACCAACCGACCTTGAGCCGATTCTGACCGCACCGTACTAGGCTAATAGCCTTTCAAGGGTCCATAATAACCCCTTTTCCTCATAACACAGAAGAACAACCATCATAACCGGAGCAAACCTCCACCGTCCATAGCCCAATAAACCGAGTGCCCTCCAGGCATAAATTCTCAAACTAGTTATATTACCACCATCTTCATACTTGGTCTAAATTTTTATTCAATCAGGTGACTGCATGTCACACTTATACAATCTTCCCGTGAGATACACTTCCACGATCTCATGCACCAGGTAACAAGTCTGCACATCCACATCACCGGCCACACAAATGTTGTAAAGCAAATCAAGAATTCGTAACCAGAATGCAAAGACTCCTACACAAACACCGATCTCCGTAACCAGGCTATCTTTTACGTTATTTATCTATACTGAGTATTAGGTGACTTATATGTGTTTTTTTTACTATATATGCTTTTGAGAATCAGGACAAACGAATGCTATCTTCTTCACTTTCATTGTCTCTTTTCTTACTAGTATTTTCCCATCCCTTATCCTTCCACTTTACATGGCTATTAACTTATGAGAAATGCGTCCTGAAGTTTGAATTAAGAACTCAACCGCATGACACTGTGTCCTGAAGTTTGAATGGAAAAAACTCAATTTCTCAAAGTATTTGTACATGAAAAAAATTGTAGGGAAAAAAGATGGATATGAGACTGAATAATGTAACATGTACAAAATTTTGGTCTTGATATCTATATAAGACTTGATGTATGAGTATTGAAGCGTAAGTTCCTAAAATTATTCCACATTTCCTTCTTCTTTAGGAGTAGGAGAAGGAAGAAAAAAAGACTTTCCATTTAAATTCTGTATTACCCAATCTTGAAAAGCTCAATTGTCAATAATTGGGGGGAAGTGCACGGTTAGCCACTAATAACACATGTATTTACTTTTAAGCCACTGTTTAAAATATCTTTAGTCTTTAGCCACTGCTTTAATAAACTTTACCTGCCCGGACGAAAACACCTTTCTGCTCATAAAAGTTCAGGACCAAGTGTCCTTAACTTTTGAACTTGCAACTCTAAGTTCAGGACTTCAGGACTACATGTCCTTAACTTTTGAACTTGGAACTTGAAATTCTGGACCACCTATCCTTAAGTTCTGTTCTTGTAACTCTAAGTTAAGGACTACTTGTCCTTAACTTTTGAACTTGTAAGTCTAAGTTCAGGACCTATTGTCCTTAACTTTTGAGCTTGTTAGTCTAAGTTCAGGAACAAGTGTCCTTAACTTTTGAACTTGTAACTGTAAGTTCAGGACCAAGTGTCCTTAACTTTTGAGCTTGTTAGTCTAAGTTGAGGACCTATTGTCCTTAACTTTTGAGCTTGTTAGTATAAGTTCATGACCTATTGTCCTTAACTTTTGGTCTTCTTAGCCTAAGTTCAGGACCTATTGTCCTTAACTTTTGAGCTTGTTAGTCTAAGTTCAGGACTTCAGGGCCTATTGTCCTTAACTTTTGAGCTTGTTAGTCTAAGTTCAGGACCAAGTGTCCTTAACTTTTGATCTTGTAATTCTAAGTTCAGGACCAAGTGTCCTTAACTTTGGAACTTGTAATTCTAAATTCAGGACCAAGTGTCCTTAACCTTTAAACTTGGAACTCGAAGTTCAGAACCAAGTGTCCTTAACTTTTGAACTTGTATCTGTAAGTTCAGGATCCATAATGTAGTAGAAACCAAATGTTATTTGTATTTTTTCACAAAATATAATTATAATAATAATAATAATAATAATAATAATAATAATAATATTAATTACAATTTACATATAAGATTGATGTCAGATTTGGCTTGGATGCAATATTGATAAGACAAATCTACATAACCTTTTCATTACTAGTCTGATGAAAATACAAGTGACGACGATTTAGTGTCCCAAGATAATTTGTCTAATGATGATTCTGAGAATACAAAGGATGAGGATGATAAAGAGTGCGATAATGATGAAGAGAATAAGTTACTGATATGTGTTAGTCTACAATCAAGATCATAGACGTTGGCGGAGTCCACGGCAGTCGCCGTCTCACAGACGGCGGCACAGTTCTTCTCCCTAACATGAAAGAGATAGAATAAAGGGCAACACAGTCTTTTCATATTAATTTTAATAGACTAGTGGCTACTATTGCTAAGCATTGAAATTGCTGGATAAAAACTAAATACCACTTTAAAAAGTGGCTATCCCACACAATTTTTACATTTCTTTTCTGCTTTTGACTCTCTCAGTCGACTGAAATCACTCAAGATTGGTGTCTCAAGGGAATTGGCATATTCCTATAGTTTTGAATGTTGGAGCAAAACGGTCCAAAGATACTCTTAACATGGCGTGTGTGATATTGTTCGCTTTGGGCCAAGCCCGCACGATTTTACCCAAAATGCCTCACACCATTAAGAGTATCAAACTTCTTATAAGTAGAATCTTTTTCCTTTCTACTTTTCATGTAGGAGTTTGTTCACACACATCCAACATTGAAGACTTTACATATCCGTCAAACATAAAAAAATTAACTTTAGCATGTCTTGAACTCCCCTAGAGTAAAAATCTTAACCATTGGCAAATTGTCCAATCTTGAAGTTCTGAAACTAGAAGGAAATACCTGCAGAGGGAGGGAGCGGGACGTTAAAGATGGGGAGTTTCCTAACCTTAAACTTTAGAATTTCATAATGGAGTGCCTCTGGTGATTCGTATCCCAACCTACAGAAAGTACTTGCTCAATGGTGTTGAAACCTAGAGAAAATCCCTGATAGTTTTGGAAGCAAGTATACGATGCAACTGTTAATTTACACCATGAACGAGTGAATTATCCCTCGACTGAGCTCCATTGAAGAGCTCTAGAAACTTCGC